GAATTCCAAAACAAACATTTTTTTTTCTATAAGTCTAACTTTATCAAGCAATTTGTGAACTTTCTATGGAATTTTCAGATTCTTTTTCATATTAATATTTTGCTTTCATTACTTTCATTCAAACAATATTAAAAATCTAGTTGTACTACATAGATTACATTAAATGGCATTAAATTAAGTTACAATGGTGAAAAATCCTATGCAACTGTCCGGGTCTTGCACTCAACTTTTAAAGAATTTCGAAGTATGGTGATGAATGGAGAAAAAAAATTCCGGTAAAATTATCGTTCCGTATGGTAATGACAATTTTGGTAAAGGAAAAACCATTATTCTGGTTAATAGAACAAAATTGAATGGTATTTGAACCACTTATTTTGTAGTTTTTCTTCCATATGGCAACGATTTACTAAAACTTGAAATTTTTGAAAATACAAATTTAAGTAACAGATAAGAGCGTATCATTTGAAATGCCTAAGCTCTAATAGAGCACATAATGAAAATGGTTTGGGTCAATATTTCATCAAGAATAAGTAAAGAATCCATAATTTAGCTACTAACTTTTTCAAGGATGCGATTCTAACTTAATATCCTACAATAAAGTTAACTCATTCATCATCAACACAGTCCTAAAGAATATCTACTTAATAGAATCTGTTATGTATCCTCCTCTACGTAAGTGGTAAAAAGTTGCTCGATCTCTGTTGAGTTGGGGCAGAAGACAGAAAAAGGAAATAAAGACTGAAACATAAATACTTATTAGGGTTATTTAGGGATATGAAACAAATAAAGTAAAATTTTCATTGTAGTTTTTTTTATTCTAAATTAAATGACATCAAGCACGAGATGATAATTCTAGTAGTTTATAAGTTATAATTATAACCCGTATAGAAATACTTTTTCAGTCTCTGCTGTGTTACACACTGCCTATCTAGACAAATAAGGTCTTAAGTATCTTTTTCTATCTTAAATTGTAGGAGACTAAATTCGAGACTGTAAAACGTGTATGATAGTTAAGAAGTTATAATGGTATTTTGGACAAAAAGTATAGGAAGAAGAGAAATGGTTGAGGAAGAAGAAAAATTTTTACATTTTAAAATTTTAAAATTTTGATGTAAAATTGCGTAAGTAAAATTGCGTGATGTAAATTGTGAAAGAAGCGTATAAATTATTTCAGTAACGTTGTTAAACAAAGAGAGCTACGATACAGACACATAAATAAGCTCCTACGTCAAAATTAAAGTGCTTTCTTCTGCTGGAAACTAATAACAGTCCTTTGAATTCTGGCATTTTCTAATTCTAAGCATTTTTGCTGCTTAGACGAAACAAGTTTTACAATTAAAAACTTTAATATCACAATTTAGCATTTATTTTTATATATTAGCAAAGAAAAAATCAATATAACGAATATATTTTTGGTGAGTGCGTAGAAATTACAAAAAAAATGGTTTAAAAAAATAGATTCGTAGAAACATTTTCTAAAGTCAATACACATTTTTTTCGTTCCTCAGTTCATTATTCAACCACTTGATTAACCACAGTTAAAATATTTTGCTTTTGTTCCTTCGCAGTATCAATATATACTTTTTTACAAGACATTTTAAAACATTAAAAAATTACTTATACGATGCAAGTCTAATTCGCTTTGTTGATCACAATTTTATTTTAATGCATAACACTTAATAATTGTACATGGGTATTGAGTAA